CCCCCCCCCCCCCCCCTCCTTTTTTCTTCTAACAAAAAAAAACCACCCTCTCTTCCCTCACCATCAGGAAGGGGGTGGGATTCCATCAAACCAGGTCTTATTACAGTTAGAGAAGAGGAGCGGGATTTTCTGAGCCCAACAAAATCATTTTTTAGAGATCAGGCAAAGATTATTCCGGATGCATTCACCTCTGTGCAGCAATTTGCCTAAGGGCCTGTTGATTTAACTTGCAAAAGTTAATATAGTATTGATATGCACTTCTATGAGTGGCATTCTACGGATTTTCAATCAACAGCGGAAATTTCTGTAGTGCAACATCATAGAGCGCAGGAAGGATTGGACTAATTTGTTCAAAAATCAATTCTTTTACGTATGTATATTCAGCTGTGGAAGTTCAGTTCATTTACTATGCTGTTTGCTGGGTAGGTCATTTTTGTGAAATTGTGATGTTTTATGAACTTCTTTAACTTGAAACATAAACCGATACATTGTTGATCGAGTGCTTAGAAGTTTATCTTACATACCGAACCAAATCTGGCTGTAGATTTGCCGTGTGGGTATATGAGATGGTTTGTAATCAACTCAAATACTCATCACGCACGGTAAAGAACATAGCTGTACGTTTCCAAATTAGGATTGGTGTTACAAGATTTGCAGATGACATGTTATATTGAGCAAAATTTTGTACTATTGCACAATTTTACCCAATCAAGAGTAAATTCTTACTCAAACAAGTCATGTTACTTAATGGGTCAAAGTCTAAATGGTCCAATTCATGGGAAAAAGCTCAAGCTTGTAGAAGACCAAACAAGTCTTATGAGGTCCAAGACGGTCAAGCCCATCAGGGAGTTACGGAAGCATCTAGGAGTTATACCATTGTTTGTTGAGGAAGAGGAAAGGTCGTCAAGAAGAAGAGAGGTTATCAGTTATTAAGTTGTCTACAGTCCGTTATAACCGTCAAGCTATTCAATTACTACGCAGACTTCTATAAATTGTAAACACCTCTAACACTTGGGGGGCATCTCAAAAAATCAAGCTTATCTCTTCTCTCTTGTAATTCTCTGTTCTCCCAACACACAGGAGCTAATAAACTTCCCAGCGAACTTAGCCATTGAAAGTGGACATAGGCCTTGTTGACCAAACCACTATAAACATTATTTTTTCTTTCCATGTACTTATTTTATTATATTTTATTCTATTTATCTGATTAGTAGTGTGTAAACTAATTTATGCATCATCAGTTTGGCGTCATCTGTAGGAATGACAAAGTTCTCACTTAAACATTTTTTTTGCTGAATCAAAGGCGATCACCACCAGATCCATGAATCAACCTGAAGACATTCCACCACGAAAGGAGGTTGCTCTTCCACCCAATTCAGTCCCAAATGCACAATAGATGTTGGAGACCATGTAACAGTTTATAGTTCAGAACTAGCAAATTCTGTAATTGATGCTCGGACAATAAGGAGGAGCACAGCCCGAACCTCAAGCCAGGGAAACTCCATTCCCTGGTTATCAAGGAGCTCCTCACCTTGGCGCTCCCTATCTAGCCGCCCCCTTTTTTGGGAGTTCCCTTGGGCGCCCCACATAGGGGAGCTCACCATGAGGATCCTCCTCTAGCCCCTGCTTTGGCTCCCTATGGTGGAGATTTTCCTCTCCAAGAGGACGAGGGTGAAAACCAAAGCATGGAGTATGGGAACCATTTTCGTGGTAATTCTAGAGTACTTCCTCCTAATCAATTGGATGAAAAAATTAAAAATATGCAAAATCAGTTGGGTGACGTCTTCAACGCCATGAAGGCGCAGGGCCCTGAGACAGTAAATTTCCTCGTAAGTCGAACCAATACACCTTTCAAACCTGACGTAGCGAATTATCCACTCCCCCAAAAGTTTAAGATGTCATCCGTTAAGACCTTTGACAGTACGAAAAATTCGTTGGACCACCTTGAAGCTTTTAAAAACCTTGATGCAACTGCACAATGTCCCAGATGAAATCATGTGCAGAGCGTTTCCAACCACATTGAAAGGATCCATTCGGCAATAGTTCGCTAAACTCTCCTCAACCTCCATTGGCACATTTGTTGAGCTAAGTAGGTCTTTCATGTCACACTTCATTGGAGGACGCCGCCACCCGAAGCCTGCCACCCACCTGCTTAGCATAAATCAGGACCGAGATGAAAGCCTGAGGACCTACCTCACTCGTTTTAACGAGGAGGTGCTTCAGGTCGAGGAGCCCGATGATAAGGTGAGCATGACTGCCTTCCTAAGGGGCCTCTGGTCGTCAAGTTTTCTTTTCTCTGTAATGAAGCGCCCACCGAAGATCATGTCAGAGTTGTTGGCGAAGGCCCAAAAATACATGAATGCCTAGGACATTACAAGGGCCAGACAAGGGAAGTCCTCTAGAGTTAGAGAGAAAAGAAAAGAAAAAGACAAAGACGATAAGAAGGAGAATAATAACAAGCGTAGTAGGACGGAGAGAGTGCCTGCCAAAAATCAGCTCGGTCCTACTCCCCAAAAAGATTGACAAGCATTCACTCCCCTCAATGCCGCCGTCGGGTACATCCTATTACAGATTCAGGATGACCCTGCAATAAAGTGGCCTGGAGAATGAAGTCTCCCCCAAACTAAAGGAACCCAAACAAGTATTGTCGCTTCGATCGCGACCATGGCCATAACACCGATGATTGATATGACCTCAAAAGGCAAATTGAAGAGCTCATCCAACAGGGTCACCTACGCCAGTATGTTGCCGGTAGGGGATAAGTGCCAGCACCACCCCGTAATCAGGAAGACCAACAGCCTATTGGTGAAATTCACACTATCTCCAGAGGGCTTGCAGGGGAGGAGAATCCCTTTCCTCTATAAAGGCTCATACCAAAAAAGCTAAGCACCCCGAGGAATTGTGCCCATCCGAGGCTCCCAGGTATGGCAATAGCGAGATCATATCCTTCTCAGACAAAGATTTGAAAGGGATCCAACACCCCCATGACGACCCTCTGGTACTTACCATGATCGTCGCCAACTTCCAAATACGAAGGATTCTCGTGGACAGCAGAAACTCTGAGGATATCTTGTTCACAGAGGCATATGACAAACTCAACTTAGGCAGAGAAAGATTGCAGCCCATCAAGTCGCTCATCATTAGGTTCTCAGGGGAGAAGGTGTATCTCCTATGGTCCATCACCCTACCTGTCACTGCCAAAGTGGCACCCCGCAGCTCCACGATCATGGTCAACTTTCTGGTGATAGATTGCCCTTTTGCCTACAACATTATCCTAGGGCGACCAGCTCTCAACACCCTAAGAGTTGTGCCCTACCTACACCTACCATCTTATCCTCTGATTCCCAACTTCGAACGGAGTCGGAAAGATCCGAGGAGATCAAGTAGCTGCAAGAGAGTGCTACGTCTCCTCAATGA